CTAAGGCTGATAAGACTAGGGGTGTACTCACTAACTAGGCCCCCCCCCCCCCCCCGTACTTAAATCACAACACGATAACCAAATTCATTGCATATTCCTGTTAATTCAATTCCATTGCACATTTGCATAACTGTGTTTTTATAACTATATTTCTAATTGTATTTTTCTGTCATGTCCATGACTCAATATGTCATGTTTAAATGTCTTGTATATTTATATTCTATTCATTACTCTGTCTTTGCACTATGACCAGTGACACTAAAATATCATCTCGGTGTATGACCAATTCATCATGTAGCGGCAATAAATGACAATAAAGAATACTTTGACTGCATCACACTCGAGCTGCACATGTCCTTGTGATACCAATAATCTCAACGGTTTCTATCAGACCATCTGTTCATTTTTCTTACTGTTCATCAAGTACAGAGGGGGTTGGGGGGGCAGTGTGCGGCTTAGTGGGCTAAGCCTGCGTGCCTGTAATCAGAAGGTTGTCAGTTCAAACCCAGCCTCTGCACATCTGCGGGTCCTTAAGCAAGGCCCTTAACCCCCAGCTCCCTGGGTGCCACTATGGGTGGCTGCCCCTTGCAGACAACTTACTCTACAAAGAGCAAGTTGAGGGAGACATGAAGACAATTTCCCCATGGGGATTAATACAGTATCTATATGAAAAAATAGCCCATCCCTGGATACAGAATATCATTATTATAAACAAAGCCATTATCGTGAATCTGTGGTTGAGCCTTTCGTGTGAGAAATTCATCTCATGCTGTATACTGTTATTCTGCTGCATGTTTATAACTGTCGTGTCATGGACCGAGGAAGCAGGAGCAGGGACACGGAGAATCAGGGAACGAGGGATTTATTCGGGATACGAGAAGGAACACTGGCAACATACAATGTTACAACGTTAATGACCGGACTGGGGAAAACATACCTAACGCAGACTTAAATACATTGGACTAATACATTGGACAAGAAGAAACAGCTGGTAAACACAGGGATTCCACACGAGGTAGATGAGGGGGCGTGGCACACAGAAGGAGCGGACGAGCGGAGCAGGACAATAACACCTTGTGTGGCTCTGAAGGACAGCTGGCCCAGGCAGATCTAGCAAGCAAATGCAGGACTGGCCCAAACAATTCAAGGGCATCACTGCCATGAAACATTTGCAGAACGATATGTGTGAGCGGGGAAAATGAGAATAGCTGCAAAAGTTCATTCACTGACAAAAATAATGCCATATGTGTGTGATTTCATCAACAGTTAAAAATAAACCTATGACCATATACAATTCAGTGAGTGTCTTCAGGTGTTATAAGCCAATATTTTTTTCAAATATTAAAAAGAACATAAAATATTAATGCTATCTTAATGCTTGCCTTGGATTGCACCCCAACTGAGATAATAGTACATAAAACGCTTGCAAAAATAAATATGAAAAAATATCACATGGCATTGGCAAAGAAATACTCATAATACATATAAAATGGAACTATTATTATTTATTGCCTGAAAACTGTTTTTGGGTCCAGCACTCATATGATAAATGTCTGTTTTATTGCTAAAAAAAACCTACTTATATTTTTAACACACATACTGTATGTAGAAACGTGTGATGCAGTTTCAGTATCGGTGAATCATAGGTGACCCAGGAGTACGCCACATGTGACACACTCACAAATAGTACATGACTGACATTGGTGACACCTGCAGCAAGAGACATTTCTTGTTCACCTGAAGCTTGGAGAATAATAAAGATTTCGATTCTGATTCTGATGAGGTGTTTCATTACTGAAATGTAAGCGGATACAGAATATCATTCACTCAAATATTATTCCAATTTATTGTCTGATAAACTGTTATGACAGCTTGAGGTTTAAATGTTATGTTACAAACATAATATTTAATGCCATTAAATGTAACACTGCCTTTTTAGTGAGAGAGGAAAAAAGTTTAATTTAATCCGCTTTGGTGGCATTCCGTATATATTTTTAAATGCCTTAAATCTAAAAAAAAACAGAGAGCCTTGGGGCTAATAGGATTATGGGTAAAATAAGAATCTGTAATGGGGCAGGTAAGCCCGCAGACGGCATGGAGGTCAGGGTATAAATGTCTGGGGCAGAACGGCAGATGCAGCCAAGAACCAGAGCAGGCACATCGCTGTGGGATTACTGACCTTCAGAAGAAGCGCAGGTACGGCATCGTCAGGCTCCTTTTCTGAGAGATGCTGAAGTACGTAAGATGAGGGGCTGTATTTGAGGAGAAGCTGGGTCTCTCACTTCTGTCGGGGTCTGCGTTCTTTAAACAAGGTGGATTGGCTGCTTACAGAGATGTATATAAAGCTCAAGCAAACAGCCCATACTGGAGGGGATGGTGTGCAGCTCATTGATATAGGATGTTGTGCCTATGATCAGAAGGGCGTCAGTTCGAATACCAGGGATGGCAGAGTGATGTCACCTTACACAAGGGTCTTAGCTCCCAATTGCTCTAGGAATTGGTTGAACCTGCTTTCTCTGGATAAAAGTATTTGCTAAAAATGTAACATAAGGCAATAAACTTTTAATAAAATTCTGCCTGTATATGGTATACTGGCATATTGACTTTTCAGAAGCTCATAGCTATGATGCGGATCATGGGTTTGCAGGATACAAGCTTCCAGAATTACTGCAGCTGCAGCCTCTGTCCAAGTCATACAAGGTTTTGTTGACATAATGACATGTAGAATCAGATTCTTCTGAAATTCTGCATTTCAGTGCCGTGAGTGTAGACTGAAGGACATTGCACACAGGGCTTCACAATGTTGCAGACATTTTTGCAACAATGCAGCAAAGTTTTTTGTTGAGATCAAAGATTATGCAGCAACTGTCACTAGGTCTGGAAATCCAAGGTCTTGCTGCAAAAGGCAAAAAAAGCCAAAATGGTGTGTTTGTATCTGTCTGTCTGTGCCTTCTGTACAGTAATTTAGGTTAAGTATCTATCTGAAGTAACAATCATGTAAAGCAACAGTGTTAAAAAACTGAGAACAGAACTGTCAAATCTAAGATAATTTTAATAATATACCTTTATTCCTAAACTCTAATGCACACTGCAGAAAAGTCTGCAGACATTCTCCTTATTTAAATGTTTAGTATTAAAGCAACATATTTCCTGTTTAAATCTGACTAAAAGAGAAAGTTATTTCAGTCAGCAGTAAGGTGCATCAAACAAAATGTTTGCCATTGAGCTCAGAATATCAAGTCACACCTTCTCAGAACTGGGATTATACTGCATACTTAATGCATGCTGCAAAAATATCATGTAAGACTAGACCACACAGTACTGTCCAAGAAGGCAAAGTTTGGCTGTACCAGGTTGGTATATAGATCGTCTGAGGCTCTGGAGATACTGAGATAACTGCTATTTTTGTAGAAGATAATCCTCAACATTTGGCACAAAAAAAAAAATCTACGTAGATGGAACACCTGCCAGGCCTTCTGTATAAGGGCTATATTTAGAGATGTTTCTCTGTTTTGTGAATAGCAGTGTTCCTTAATGTCTCCGTCCTGCCTAAGGAATCAGAATAGAGTTTATTGCGAAGTACGTTCCTACATATAAGGAATTTGCTTTGGTGATTGGGCCAGACATTGAGAGATAAAGGTGGCTTTATATACATATATATATATGCAGTCACGATTGACTGCAACCTTCTGCCAGAGGGGAGAGTCCAAAAGAGTTTGTGACCAGGGTGAGAGGAATCAGCCATAATCATTCCTGCTCTTTTCAAAGTCCTGGACTCGTACAGGTCCTGGAAAGACGGAAGGTTGCAGCCAATCGTGAATGACATCTTTAACATCTTTTCATTGCCCTGATGGCTGTATTTCAGACTAATGGTAAATAGTCTATCTTTTGTGTATGATAATCACTTTCTTCTCATTTAGTTCACAGGAACTACTTACACAATCAACAAAGAAATGTCAAAGTAAGTCTTGTAAACTGTGAAATAGTGGTTCAGAAATACATGTGTCTCTTTCACCATATTATGTATTTGCACAAGACATTACAACAAACAAAACAAAGACCCTTTCAATGAACTGAGCAGCTTCTGCAGAGTAATTGTGCGTGACCGAAAGCTGGTGGTCATGCTGGGTAATTTCATTTGGTCCATCTGATGACAAACAACAGGATTATGTCAGGCCAAGTACTGAAAAGCTCTTGGATTATTTGTAGGTAAAGATGGAAATCCTTCAACTTGTTACCTTAATTTTTGACGTTTTGTTTTTTTCAAAGTATATATTAATTATAATTCAGTATTGCATTTGTGTAAAAAGCATACTCTTACTTTTTTGAATTCTTAAGTACTTATATATTTATATAGCCCACTTATTTAAAAATATTTATTTGATACATCCTCATTAATAATCAGTGTGGATCCTGTTATTTTTGCTTGTTATTTGTTGGCAATTATGACAACAAAGGTTCTGCTGCACTGAGGAGCAGCCAATGAGAGGTGCAGAGTGAAAGGTCATGTGACCTGAAAGTATGCTGCTCTAGCAAAGCTCCTGGGAATAGGGGATAACGATAAGGACACTGTTTGCAGACTGTATTGCAAGTAGATAAGAACAGACAACATGCAGTGACCAACAGGGAAAGTACTGAAATAAAACTGCTGAGCAAGTGCACTGCTTTGTTTGGCAGTGGGAGATTACGATCAATAGCATCCCACAATCCTTCAGCTATAACTGAAAATGCTGTTGACTATTTACAATTTACATAGTATATCCACCAGCTCAATGCAGAAAAATAAAAAATTTATTCTAACAGAGGAAACTGTTAAGGTTTTATTCAAACAAAACTAATTTGATCAACCCATTTGCACCCTTTTTTTCAAAGTTTTTTAGCTATCCTGGATACACATTGTCTGTAGATTGCAGATTGGGCCCTAACTGTTATTTTGAATTACAGATTTAGATGGTGTGTATAATTCCAGGTGACTGAACTGACTCCTTCACTCTGTTTTTAGGGTCTACAAGAAAACCAGCGGCAATGGCTCGGTGAGAAGTCCTTCTTCAGTCATTAGACTTTTCTACCCTTTGTGACAGAAAACGAACAAAGAAACAGAAAACTTTCTAAATAGTTTCTGTGTAAATGTTTTGAGTGTTCTCAAAGCCTTAACTGAAGTTATTAACTTAGGCCTAAGGCTAGGATAAGCATGCTTAAAATTCAGATTTGACATCGATTAAAACAACATGGTCTCCTACCTCTTAGTCACAGCATAATAATTTTTGACTCATAAATCTCTGAAAATCAGAAAGCAGCTCAGAACAATCAAATACTAATGGTTTCACTCGTTCTTCTTTAGCTATCCCTTTATCTAGGAAGAAGAGATTTTGTGGACCATGTGACCTCTGTAGACCCAGTCGGTGAGCTTTCTGTGATCTTATTTTGATTTTTAACTTTCAACCTTACCTTTCTAATAAATAACAAGGCAGACCCTAAAGCCGACTTGCAGCTAATACCATTTTCCTCATCTCTCAAAAAGATGGGGTGGTGAAGGTTGACCCTACCGACCTCGGGGACAGGAAAGGTAATAATCTGCTTAGATTCGCATCCCTCCTCATTCTTAGGAGCTGATCACAGCCATTGAAGGCCACAGATTGAGTTTTCGTGAGGCCTGTTCTTATACCTCTTGTGCTCTGTACAGTACATGTAATGCCTCAGAAAATAAGACATGTAGACATGTCTGTAACACAGACAGCAAATATGTAAGCAAACCGCTTTATGTCAGTGTGACATATATGCAAATTCAGCATAATGGTACCCAGCTATGTCAAGTCACATTGGATTTGCCCTCTCCGCCCTGCGCAGTGTGGGTTCACCTGGTCTGTGCCTTCCGTTACGGTCGCGACGACCTGGATGTCATTGGCTTGTCCTATCGGAAGGACATATGGATCGAGCAGCAGCAGATCTACCCCCCTACTGGCAGCAAAACACCAAACACCCCCATGCAAGACATTTTGCTGAAGAAAGCGGGGGATCAGAGCTACCCCTTCATCTTCAATGTAGGTCCTCCTTCTCACTCTCACCATCTGATTTCCCTCTCTACAGCCCGGGCTCCCCATACTTGTACATAGTTTCCTTAGTGGTCATAAGTAGCGGGATGGAAGTTGATGTCCTGCAGCTTTGAGTCTTGTATTCAGTTTATGATCCACATAAACATGTGAAAAGCATTATGAACAGATGCAGAATCTGAGGCAAGATCTCTGCAGATCCACAAATGATCTGCACAGATCCAAGATCTCCACCATCCACAGATGCTTTGTTAAACCTCTTGTTTTGCAGCAAAAACTAATGGTCTCTTCTTTCCCCATTGTTTCAGATGCCTACTAACCTTCCCTGCTCTGTGACACTTCAGCCTGGACCAGACGACAAAGGCAAGGTACAGGTTATGCTGCGCTAGATCAAAATAACTGCTGAGAAGTACTTTGTTGTTAAGGATCTGTCCTTTCATTCAGCCCTGTGGTATTGACTTTGAAGTGAAGACATACATCGCCAAAGAAGCAGATAATCCCGATGAACAAGTCGACAAAAAGTAAGTATGTTTTCAGAGCAGATAAATTTGAAAATACATCCAGACAGGAGCATTACCATATTATGATTTTCACATGTTTCTCATCATGGCTTTCAAATTAATTCTGTAAACATCAGCGAAAACAAGAAAGTCATGCGATTTGTTTTGTTGATAAAAAAGTATCTCTATTAAAAGCAACATTTTAATACGTCCTGAAAACTATCTTTTGTAAACATCAGCCATTACTTGAATGTGTGAGGGATATCTCACTCGTCCCCTACAGGGACACTGCCCGTCTTCTCATTCGCAAAATCCAGTTTGCCCCTAACAAAACGGGGGCCGGGCCCAAAGCCAGCCTCAGTAAGCAGTTCATGTTGTCTGACAAGCTGGTCCATGTGGATGCATATATGGAGAAGGAGGTAACAACCTTTCTACTCTCCTCTTCTCATTGGTCTATGCCTTACACAAACAGACATAATGATCATGTGAACTGTAGACACCCAGAGGAATAGAAAAGGATTTTAGGAAAAGCTTTTCTGTGCCATTTCTCCCAAATAAAACCAAGATAACTACTTTGAACATTATTTTGTTAGAACATTATGACTGTGCTATACTAATCCTTTATTGGATAGCTGTCCATAATATATCGTTGCCGTTGGATGAAATCTACAGTAGCCAGGAAAGCCCAGAATGAGTCAACATTAACGCAAGGCAAAAACATTAAGAAGATGCAAAAACACAAAGACGACACAAAAACATCAAGACAAAAAAATAAAGCAAATTTCGTTGTGTTAATGTTTTTGCATTGTGTTAATGTTGGTGTGTTATGAGCTTTCAGGGCCACCGTAGAAAACCACTTTGTCTACTTTTGGATGTTTGTGACTTTTTATTACAGATGGAATAGGCCCATTCTCCTCTGTCTACTAATAGTGTTTCAATGAAAAGATGTTTTATGAAGATATCTTTTTAAGTAGTATTTATGTTTGTACTAGTGAACATTTGTAATCATGATAGTCGTTTGTTTGGATTACTTAATATTGCTCATTTTAACAATTCATATATTCACATAGCTAACTAAAATCATTGTTAATTATGACTATAAAGCGAGATTAGTTTGTATCTTGTTGACACATATTTGCCTCACTAACAACAATATTATAGCGCTGGTGGGCTTTGAATATCCCGCCATGCTCACAAGCGCTTGGCGCCACAGTATACATAAGTCCATTTAAAGCATTAAACCGTTCACCGGCGGCTGTGTAAAGACAGGTTTCTGTCTGTGCTGTTAAAGGGGTCTCATTCCATCGTTTTAGGGTTATTTTGTAAAGTCGTTTCTGAGAAAATGTCTTTTTCACACTCCTGAAATAATGGATTTTTGGTGATGTGTGTCTTTCATTGGACAGTGACGATATTCCCAAGGTGGGATGATGCGCAGGATGTGGAAGAGAGTACAGACAGACATAGCAAAAGTAACAGAGAAACAGAAATCAAAGAGAGCCATTTTGCCATAAGTATGAAAACAAAAATGGGATTTGGGTCTTAGATAGAACACATGGGTACCAGGTTGGCATAAGGGTCTGGGCAAGATTATTCAAGGTAAAGGAGAGCAAAAATGCACCTTATTGGAAATGGGAGTATGGCGGTCAAACCCAATGAGTATACTCAGCACCTGAACCCAATGAGTATACTCAGCACCTGAACCCAACGAGTATACTCAGCACCGGAACCCAACGAGTATACTCAGCACCTGAACCCAACGAGTATACTCAGCACCTGAACCCAATGAGTATACTCAGCACCGGAACCCAACGAGTATACTCAGCACCTGAACCCAACGAGTACACTTAGCACCTAAACCCAATGACTATACTCAGCACCTGAACCTAATGAGTATACTCAGCACCTGAACATGCCCCATCCTTCGACATTCTCGCCCTATTTCTAATAAGTAATCACTGACAATGCGTTTCAAGACATGGTAAATGTGATCTCACTGATTTCTCTTTATCAACATTGCAGATATGTTACCATGGTGAGCCAATCCCAATCAGAATAAAAATTAACAATGAAACCAATAAGGTGGTGAAGAAAATCAAAGTAACCGGTAAGCCTCCATGCTAAATATAACTCTTGATATAACTGCACAAAAAACACACTAGCAGATTGGAAACACCATCTAGAAAAAAAGCGCAAGCAAGAATGAGATAATAAGCTAAGGTACCTTAACATTTCCCGTTAATTAGCAACCTGCAGTCACATGTCAAAATCAATATTTTCTACAATTGCTAAATTGCCAAGTGGCTTTTGCAATACGTGCCGTAATATTGGAATGTCATACAATAGAAGCATGAATATACAGGCAATTTCATTAACAAGTAATTTATTTCAGTTGATTCATTCTGTCATCTCTCCTTCATCAGTGGACCAAACTACAGATGTGGTGCTGTTCTCTGCTGATAAGTACACCAAGAATGTTCTGAATGAAGAGTTTGAGTAAGAAACAAAAATTATATTTGTCAGAAGTTCATTCAGAGCTGTAGTCAGTTGGTAGCAGGATGCATTGGTTGTCATGTATTAGGTAATACAGAAATTTGATGGATGGATGGAAAAACATGTCTGTGACTTTCTTACATTTAGTTCCTTTGTTTCTCAGTTAGCTCTCCATTCTGTTCCCCCAGAAACCCTAAGTGTGCATTGGGTTGTATGTTTCAGGGAGATGGTTGAAGCCAGTTCGACTTATGACAAAACCCTCAACATCACACCAATGCTGGCCCACAACAAAGAGAAGCGCGGCCTGGCGCTGGACGGCAAGTTGAAGGAAGAGGACACCAATCTGGCCTCCACCACCATGTCAGTCTCACTTCCTGCTAATTCCTGCAGCATAAATATCACTGTAGCAGAAATTTGTGTCAGTTCTCCTCCTCAGCTTGTTACAAAGTCTAACACACTGCTGTGTTTATATAAGTAAAATGTGCAACCTTGGTGCAGCACTGTGACTTCATGGGTCATATGGTTGACATGGTTGCTGTGGTTGCCTACCGCTCCATCCAGGGTGTCCCCTGCCTTGTGCCCAGGGTCTCTGCTACCCTGCTTTAGAGAAGCAGTTGAAAGATGAATGGTTGGACCTGCAAACTTGGCAGCATCGTCCTGTCATAAGACCCTTTGAATGTGGTGACTATATGACCAAGCCACGGAGAACTTACTGGAGATACTGATGAACTCTGTTTCTTTGCATCGATAATGAGAGAAAGCAGCTATACCCAGCCGGCTAACTAGAGTGTTACTCTCCTCCTCTTCATCTCCATCTCCTTCTTTGCTTATTTGCACATTTAGGTTGCGACCAGGCATGGAAAAAGAAGTTCTGGGAATATTGGTCTTCTACAAAATTAAAATTGTCCTCATGGTCTCCAGAGGAGGGTGAGGCATAATTTCACAAATGACCCCCCCCCCCCCACCCCATCTTTTCTATGATGAGCTGAAAACAAAAAGAACCAACTAAAAAGTTACTTAATGAGAGCTGGTTAAATACAGACCTAACTCAAATTGTGCCACTTACACATCTCTTTTTCTCTTTCTATCCTAGCATCTTGGGTGACCTTGTAGCCAGGTAAATTTGTATGATACCTATGAGCAAAAAATCTCGTCGAATGAGAACTCATGCAGTAGCTATTGGTTTGTGTAGCACAATGCAAAGGCGCGTCATGCGTGGCTCATGCGTCTCTGCTGTTCTCCGGCAGCGATGTTGCTGTGGAGCTTCCCTTGGTGCTGATGCATCCCAAACCTGCAGGTAAGAAGCAGACCGGCTCTGGTGGCCAAGAAACGATGAGATCTTGCCTGTTAAATGAGAATCTCACCAGAAGCCGGATGTTTGTAGTGTCCGGTTCCAATTTTTCAATAATATGCAAAGACTTACAGTAAACTGATGTTTACCTGTACTGTGATTGTTGATGAAGAATTGCTAAGCACCTCTTCCTGTCATCTTTCTTCACTGCTTTCCCATGAGAAGAGGTGTAAGTACAAGTCACATAACAATAACACACAAAGACATGAGCTGCTCTCAGCAGAGGGACAACATGCACAGCTATTTAAAGACAAGTGACATGGAGAGAGTTAGGGCAGTCAAGTGTTTTTACTGCAGTACTGCGGTTAAGAATTGTGTCAGCCATCAAAAACACCACAATTTAAGCTAATTATATACCTATTTAACTGTTACAATTAAAATAATTTCATAACATTTCTTGAATCACAAAAGAGATCAGAAAAAAATAAAAAATTCAGACTGTAGTGAATATAAGTAGCCTGGGAAAGTACATGGTGATGATGAAGATGCTGATGTTCTTCTATGTTGCTGCATTTGGAGGAACTGCAGCGAACTGGAGTAGCTCCACCACCTAAGGTAAGCGCACCTCTGACCGCCTCTGTCGGGGTCATTTAAGCCCGTCAGCCTCTTAGCAAACATTCTGTAATATCTACACTGAATACTAAGTGGAAAAACCCAAGTCCCACTCATGCAATTAAGTGGCAGTTTGTCTTTCTCATTTCTCATTGAGTAGATACCTCAGAAGACAGAGTCTGAAGGAAAATCAACACGCAGAAGACCAGCAAATGGAAAAATAGAAATAGAGACCTTGCAGCAGCTCTCACACGCTGTGATAAAGCTCCCCTTTCCCAACACTGTCATATCTCATGCAGTTACATAGCAGTTGTATTTCCAGATATAACTACAATATATGTTTCATTATATATCATTTTTAGCCACATATCATAATTAGACATACTACGATGTCAGCTCTTATTTCTCTGTACAAAACTGAATTGTTTCACGATTAAGAGTTATAACAATATAACAACAATAACATTGTGTTTAATCATTCCTGTCTGTAGCTTTTTATTGAATTGCTAGGACAGACCAAAACACAACAAAGTACAGCTCTTTATATGCTACAAATCAGAAATATTTTATTGTATTAATTTCTTATTGGATACTATATGTTTATTCATTTTTGGCAGTTGCTGTAATCTCTTGACTGATGAACCACTATATGAAATAAAATATTCCCATTCCTTTATCCTTGTTCAAGTCATTTTTCAAAGCATTACTGTTTTGGGCAATATTTCTATACCATTTTTAGGGCACAGGGGGGAGGGAATACATTTTATTCTTATATGACTCACATGCACATGCATAAATAAATGGGGACAGCAGGGTTTAAACAAGGCTTAACAAAAAAAGCACAAAATGGGCAAAGCACTAAATAAAGGTTTAGTTAACTGTGCCATCTGTAGGGACAGGGTCCGGATTTCGTTTGCCAGAGTAACATATAAGCAAAACTGGAGCCCCGAGCCACTATAGCAATGCCACACATGTTCATACTTAGGCCAAATAATTCCAGTAGTTAAGTTACATGAAACTGATCAAAACAAAAGACACAAAAGGTAACATGATTATTACAATAAGCAAAATAGTGGGTGGAAGTACATTTGTTAGCAATAAAAACCAACAGAAAAATGAAAGCAAGTATTTTAATTCTCTGCTAACCTGTCACATTTCTTGGTAGTTTCTTTAAAATCTATAACATGAGTGGCTGTGCTCAGGCTTCTTTTGAATTGCTTCAGCATTTGGATAGCAATTTTCTCCTCATTAGTGATTGGAAGTTTGATTCAATTTACAAAACCGATTCTGTCGAACTGTTCATTTAAATTAATCGAATGCTCGATTCAAAGAATCGGCGGCAGTTTCTTCCTTGCTGGTTAAATCACTCCTAGACGACTCTGTGAGAAATGTATGAACTTCCTTTTTGCTTTATAAATGCCCCAATATTTTAAAAACAAAATCACACTAAGTCTGTATACGTGCTGTCACGCCCCGCTCCGTCTGCTCCTGATGTGTGCCACACCCACCTCGTTACCTCGTGTTCATCCCTGATTGTTCTCACCTGTTGCCTGTTCCGTTTGCCTAGTCTCTTGTATTTAGTCCGAGTCTCAGTCCGTCTTCCCGAGATCCGTCATTGTATTGTTACCGTGTTTGTGAGTGTCTGCCTTCTTGGTCCAATTAAACCCTGTTTACCCGGTCATCTGGCTTCTCTCGCCTGCTTCATCGCTCGCCCGCCCGCCTGTCGTACCACGTGCTGCCTTAGTATATTAAACAAAAAACATTTTAAATTTCCTGATCTTTTTGTTGTATCTGTCCTTCCGACCAGATTGCAATTATTATTATTTTTTTACTTTGTTTTCTGAGTTCGTAACTGCATGTTTTCAAGGCGGCCTTTGTATTTTGTTTCAGAGGCAGGTTATTTGCATAACAAATCTACAGAAAGTGTTTAAACTCCCACCCCAAAAAGCGGAAAAGCTCCCTTTGTTCAATTACCTTTAATGATTCTGCATGTTTATTAAAATCTTATTTTCATAACAGTATTGGTCATTGCCTCAGGTCTAATTAAAATGAAAATCAATCACATAAGCAGGGTTTGGCTTTTTAAATAGGCTTGTATACGAACAGCCATCCTCCAAAAGCATGATAAAATCATGAGTACCTTCAGAAATTTGCAAACATATTGTTTAAAATGTTTTAAGTAAAGGATAAAAACCAACACGAAAGCCACAATGTACAGTATATAATAAATGCTGTTCACAAAGGCTGTTGGGATTGGCACTTTACTAACTGGTTGTTTTAGATTTGAAAAACAGTTTGACTGATTCATTGGAAAGAACCGATTCAAAAGAACGATTTGTTCATAAATGGGACATCACTACATTCCATAAATTCTCTTCATGAGTGAAGCTGTGCCGTTGCTAATCACTTTCACAAATCATATGCTATAGTCACTGCCACTATAATCACTGTTATTAGTCAAAGCTGCTAATCACTGTCACTAATCACTGTTAGTAGTCACTGTGCTAATCACTGTCACTAGTCACTGTGCTAATCACTGTCACTAGTCACTGCTGCTAATCACTGTTATTAATCACTGCCGCTTGTCACTGTCACTATACTCACTGCGGTTAGTGACTGTTGCCAGTCACTGTCGCTAATCACTGTCACTAATTCAGGTGGAAACAAGTTTTGGCTTCACCCATTTCTCCATCTATTCATCTATTTGAGCAATTTCCTCCAGGATCAATAAAGTTTTTCTGATTCTGATTATTCTACTTCAGCCCAAGCAGCAGCCTCATACTGTGTTGGACAACATCCCGCACCAAACATCTGACATCAGCACCAAGCCAAAGTTTGTTTGGCCAACACTCACAACAGCAGGTTTGGCCACATGTTTTTCCATAATCATTCGTTGTCACCCGCCCTGTCACCCTGTCATGCAGGACAGCGGTCATTGCTGACGGATGTACATTTGCTCCTCTTCCAGCCATTGAATTTTATGTTGTTTTTAATTTTCACAATGGCTACCCCTGCTAGCTTCCTCATCGCCTTTGTTCCATGAACAGACAGGAGCAAAGCTGTGATTCAATCCTCCGCCTATAAATTGTTGAAGTAGAAAATGACTGTAGTGAAAATTAAGGTAACACTTTACTCCAGGGGGCACAGATAATGTAGTTTTATGCTTTTACTTATGTATTAATTAACCATGAAGGTCTTATAGTTACATACTTATATCATGTTTGTTCATCATTAACGAATCACAACAATCTCTTACCACAAGTAGTTATTTATATTTGTTACTATATCTGTGAATGCTATAAACCTTTGTAAATTACTGAAGAGACAGGTTTTTAGGTGAGACATGTGTCATGGAGTTAAGACCAGATTCATGCAAGGATTGAACTCACAACCTTCAGATCATGAAATTGACACACTACCAACTACACCAAGGAGACAGAAGGTAGAAAAAATTAATTCAGTTCTAGAATTTAATTTGGATATTAATTAGACTTTCAGTTATTAATAAAATATGTTATTTGTATGATATTTCATATATAAACATAACTACACCTGCCCTAGAGGCATAGACTTCACAGAGATATCCCGGAGCGGTACTTCCGGTATATTTTCCCCTATAGCGTAGCCGGAAATGACGTGCTGACGTTGGAGCTGAAGCTGCACATCCCTTCTCCATCCTGCTTATTTTCTACCGTCTCTGCTGCGAGTCTGGGCCGTGCATGACCCAGCATCACTCCGCTTGGGTCTGCTTTCGGCTCTCCATATTCTCCGTTTCACCTCTGCGGCGTAAACTCGCACGTCCCTGACCCCAAACCTTAACGTTTTCTGCGAGTGAAACGTGTCAGACTCGCCACGTCCGTAGCTGTCGGAATCGCTAATTGTCTGGACACGAGCTAAATAAAGGAACATGTCAAACCCCGGCGGCGGAGAGTTTGGTAACCCCCTGCGGAAATTCAAGCTGGTCTTCCTGGGCGAGCAGAGCGGTGAGTGCTCGTATGGTAAATATTGAATGAGGGATAAGGTAGCTGGTTAGTACGTGTACTGAATTTCCGAAGCGTCTTTGCTGAAAGCGGCGCTAGGCGAGGATGGGGCGGTGAAGGTGAGGCCGCCTGCTGTAATGACGGGCGGATCGCAGGGCCCAGAGGATCAGTGGGGGACAAGATGAGGAGAAACCTGGGTGGGTACTGGGCGCTTCCTGATCGAGGCCAGGCAAGGACCGTCGAGCCGTCTGCTGCTCTTGTCGTGTTGTTTCGCGATAGATATCGCCTGAATTTAGCTGGCTGTCATACGTGTGCGCTTCGATCGCCGTTTCATTTGAAATTACTCTACGCCGAGCCGCTGCCACGTCTCAAATAGGCGGTTATGGTGGCATTTCGTATGCGGCACCTCAGAACGCTGGCACGTCTGCTCACGCCTTAATAGCACTTTATTAATAAAACGCATTGGGATATTTCATTCAGTCGTAGTATTTTATTTGTGTTGGTAGCGCCAGCTTAACTTGGCCCGACGAGAAGGGTGTGCGCTCCGCATATTCCCCTTTATAGCGGATCCAATGGCCCACCTTCCCGGCGCATAGAAATCTGCCGGCCTGCAGACCAGCTGCCAGAATTACGCGTCTCGCTTTTACTGTCGCGCTGTTGCATTTCATGCGTCTCTCTGCCCCAATTAGTCAGCTAGGATTTCTTGCCATTAATGCAATAGCACAGCAGGATATAAGTGTGTGTATTTAGATGGCGGAATTCTGTTAATTATTAATATTGCTAATATAAATTATAATATGCATTTATATTTTGGTATCCTTGGTGAGTATATACAGGGAGCTCCCGATTCTGTATTTCTCATAAGTCACGTTGTAGGTTATAATGTTAAAATGCGTGAATAATATCTGTGTATGTAGAAATAACCAGCTTTGGTGGTTTTCATGTGATCGGTATTTCATATCTCGCTGCCACCCCCAGCGAACCTCACCCTTTTGCACGGCGCAGGAGCCTCACGGTGATTAATGCTATTTACTGTGGGCTCTTTTGTTTCTTAGTGATCGATAAATAATTTCCCCCTACATAAAAAGTTTTGACTTCATATTAGCATCAGTAAACAACCCCCTCTCTTCGGTGACTGGTTATATTTTAAATTAAACGGGAATAGTGGTTTTATGTTGCAAATAAAAAATTAAGACCTCCTATTAAAGTCCCATAAATTGCCTGGAATCGGCAATACATCATGTCTGTTTAC